GTCCATGACCCAGTGCCTGACTTTTTAGAGTGGGGTGACACCAAAAGGACTGTCAGTCCTTTTGGTGTCACCCCTGCAATGGTGACAGCACCCCCCTTGTGACGCCATTGACCAAGAGCCCCCCCAAATGGGCACCAAGCGCAACAAACCATCCCCGAACTTCACAAGCAAACCACCCCACCGGCCTCAGGCAGCAAGACATCTAGGAATGCCTCTGGAACTGGACCTCCTTACTTATGCATCTGTTTACTCAAATATTTTACTTCAGTACTTGGCAACGATTAGGCATGATTAAATCTTTGAAGAGATTATTGCACATAACATATATGTGGAGGTGTTATAAATATGTACGTTCTTACCAGTGTTTGCTACATTGAAGTGACTGGCTTGAAACACATAAGCTCTTTTATCCTCTGGTTTAAATGAGATTAAATAAGGATTTCTATGTTTTAACTCCTCTACATCTGGCTTCCAAATGATGTTGGCAAGGATGTGACTGCACACTTTGCCGTAACTGGTTACAAGCTGAGACACATTTTCCACTATGCACCACTTTTTATAAATAAGGCTGTTAAACAGAAAGATGTTCCCAACGGAATCCTAACAGATTCTGACTTTCATTTTTCTTGTTAAAGAAATGAAATTATAGCAAACATCTGATTGCTGAACTGGATATAGAGCAAACATTTTGACACAAACGGTAAAATGTTTCTATATATCAACATCGACTGTAAATTCTGCTATTATTAAAAGAGCAGTAAAGCCAGACATTTTTTTGTGTAACAGGAGTACATTTACTCAGGTCTTCCTGTGCAACAAATTCAGCATATAGCAAGGTTTTGCTGACAGCGCAGAGCCATGCCACAGCTGGGGAAGATCCTGAGAATATTGTCAAAATCCCCTCGGCTGCATGATTGACAGCTGGCTCTGCCTCTCTAGAGCCAGAACCAGCTGTGCCAACCCCCTCAACTCTCTGTCGCTCCAATGAGTGTTGGAGGAACAGAGAGCGGAATCCCTGAGGGGAGCGGTAACTGACAGTTATTGCTCTCTGCAGGAAGAAGCGATCAGCAGGCACATGATCACTCAGCTTTTGTTATGTAGAGCTGGTGTTTGACAGTTGCGGTGTCCAAAGCTGGCTTGAAGTATTGGGAAGAGTAAGACTTCTCCTTTAATTATGTTATCTTCTCAGAAGATAAAGAAAATTGCAGTTTGACATTATATAATACAGAGGAAGAAGTGCTATGAATCTGTCAGCTTGAAATGTTTCATTGTAAAAATATAACCTGGAAAAATGTCAAACCCTGACAAACTATTGGTTTCAATTATTTGGGGGCAGCATTGAATACCACAAAATTACTCCATGAAATTAGAGGACACATTGGGGGGAATTTATTAATGTGTTTGCGACAAAACTGTTAGGCGCAAAGACCAAAAAGTCGTGCTAACTAACCGCAAAGTGTTATGCTTCTTTTGTTAAGTGTTCTTGTGACAGACATATTCAAATTGTGACACACTGCACATATATTCCGTCATTTTGCGTAATTTCCCAACTGTGCGGTATTTGCAACCAGCATTTGTGACATTAAAAGACCTGCAAGCTATCGCAGATCCTAGAATTGCTCCTGAGCACTCCTTAAAGTATCACAAAAGATGATTCACCTTCACATCCCCAAGTCAGCTGAGCATTTCAGGACTATTCAGCTGTCATCCAGGGGGGTTTCCAGCAAGCTTGTGACAATTCAGAGACAATTTAGAGACAGAGGCAAGTTGGAGACAATTTAGAGACAATTCTCCTTATGAAGGCATTTAGAACTGAAACATAAAGTAGGATAATATAGCTGTTGCTTCATGCACTAGAAATCAGGGATACGATTATGCAACCAAATGAATTCCCCCATAGTGTCCATAGTGGCCAGCACACCATACAATTTGCTAAAGTAATATCATCTATTTCTTTCAAGTAAGAACACACTCACTGGCTTAGTAGCTAATAAGTTTCTCCCATCTTCTGGATAAACATGATTGTATACGTGAAACAGCATATGTGACTGGATGTACAGTATGCTGTTATGTAATGTGGATCCATATTTATTTTTCGCATGCCCCACATTAAAGTCTATATGCCTTACATTATATGTTATCCCTGACTAAACTATAGTATTGAATGACAAGTCAGACAATTAAGAAGTCATCTGTGTGTAATATCATGTAGAAATACTTAAGGACTAGAAATAATCTAATATTTTTGCTACGATCTGGAGCTCCACAAAGGGTGGTTCCCCTCGATAAAGCTGGGTTATATACCAGTAGATTTTCATTTGGAAAAAAAAAAATATTAATTTGAAAGTAATGTGTCAAATTGGCAATTTTCAAATGTAGTGGCGAAACAAAACAAAAAAAAAATCAAAGGAGCTGGTTGAATCATTTTTCTTCAACAAACAAAATTGTATTAGTGATTGTGGTCTTTTTTCAGGAAACTTCATCTTTAATTCCAAAATTGAATGTTAAAATCAACTGAAATTTTGAATGACATTTGTCAAGTCTCTGATGGCATTATTTTTCTTATGAACTTTCGTATGAAAATCTACCAGTGTATACCCAGCTTTACTGTAGTGGTGACAATAGTTTCACCAGTCAAGATGTGCGAGAACCTCTTTATTAGCAACACAACATAGAGGAAGGTTAGAACCCTTGTCAGCTTTTTATTGCTGTTTGTGTCACTGATTTATATTTCCCCCCATTTCCTGGCTTGTGGCACTGTTGTCACTGTCACAGTAAAAGTCTGAGCCACTTTAGCAGTAAAACCCTACAGGGATTCAAATCCTTCTTTATCTAAAACAAAAAAAAGGTTTTGGTTGGATATAAACTAGGGATGCACCGATACCAAGTACAGTACTCGGTACAAGTACAAGTACCAATACTTTTCGAGCTCCAAGACTAGACTAGAGAAAAATTAAAAAGTTAGGAGGCAGCTGTCATTTGTAAGGAGCACACGGAGCTCCTGGGATTTGTGCATCCCTGTTTTAATGTATGATTTTGTTTTTATAAATATAAATAAAGGGATGCACAGATACCAGTTTTGCGAGTACAAGTACTGGTACTTGCCCACGTACTTACAAGTACGAGTACTAATATATTTTTCTTTATTGTAATGTGACAGCTTTTCTAAAAAAATGATTTTAGCACAGTGGTGGACCACCGGAGCCAGGTCCCAGCTTCAACCGCTGCAACCGCTGCAACCCTGGTAGTTCTCATGAAAATGCCAAGTATCGGCATTGGTACTCGAAAAGTATCGGTGCATCCCTAATATAAACTTTTAAAGATCTTTTGTACCATTGTAACAAACAGTATTGAAGCACTTTTGATATTTAAATTGGTTTATTTTGTATTGTGTGGTATAAGCAAACCTAAATCCAATAAGATGTCCATACTGGCTATTCAGGGTGCAATGCTCCAAAGATCATATGCTAGGTACTCTATATGAACTTAGACAAGACTTTCTTCCGGCTTTGGTATCTGTTATTTCTCACAGATGAACAGAGGAGGACACAGAGGAAGTGCGATAGTGAAATAGGCTAGAAGGAAAGACTGCAGTGTTTATTTTGGTTGTATGTAAACTGCACATTTTTCATGAAAACTGATGATAATGAACAAGACAAAGGGGCATCGGTTCTATGAACTGATAATGCACTGTTTAACATTGTTATTACATTTACACATTGGTTGTTTAAAAAAATAGACACTCAAAACTATGACTTGGTTATCTAAATAAATAAAAAACTACCGGTTTATATGGTGAGCTTAAAAGATAACTCAAAAACAAATGAATACTTATATGGGGCTTTGAAGTTGCCAAGCAAAACCTCTGTTTTTAATCCTTAGTGGTTAGACAGGTTTTTTTTGCATGCTGGCTGGTGAATGTGCTGGGAAACTTTTTGCTGTTAAAAGTGCCAAGAACACAGCCAAAAATATAAAGCTGACATTTTAAAATCAATCAAATTTCTTTACATAAATAGATAAAATTACATATAAGTTAAAGACTAGAAACCATAAAAACATTAGGTATTGCTTAGCCAGCTTCTAATTGGGCCTTTCTAAAGGTGCCCACACACCTTGAGATAATTGTATGATAATCGCGGGAAATCCCATGATCGATTATAGCAAGGTGTGTGGAAGGCATGCGACCTCTACTACTGTAAGGTCGCACGACTTTTATCTTAGGAACATGTTTGAAAACCCGCCGAGAATCGTACGATTGTCAGCGGGTGTGTGGCATGCTGGTAAGATAAATGCCGAACGGGCTGGTGTGCGTTCAGCATTGCAGTCATCGGAAACCCGCGCCTCAGCGGGGCGGGCTTGCGATGATCGCAAGTACAATCTGCCTGTCCAAGATGGGCAGATCGTACGTTTTTTAAATTACTTTACAACCATCGCAAGACAAAAGTCTTGCGATGGTTGTAAGGTGTGTGGCCAGCTTGAGCCCCCTAGTAATATGTCACCTCTCAACTCTGCTGGGAGTAAAAATAGCAAGGGCAAAAATTGTTAGTGGAAATGTAATCATTTGCGTTTTTTTTTTTTTGTAGATAACATAATTAACTATGTATCATATGAGAGGGGAGCTATTTATCTTGATGTCTTGCATTAGACTTTAAGGAATGTTTATCTTAACTATACTGGATGAATAGCAGCTGGATACAGCTGAAAACTGATTAATGGGGAAATCCTTGGTGAGTTTCTGACAAGAGTGTTAGCGAGCTCGTCTAAAAAGCGAGGATTCACAGTGACTAAGCTCTGCAAAGCCTTAACTGGGCTAGTTCCATGATAAGAATAATAATCATGTGATAAAATATTCCCTTTTCCAAAAAGGTTTGCTTACCATATTATAGCACCCAAGGGAACAGGGAACACCAATTCAATCCCTTCCTCCACCTTACAACAGGATCATTATATCACTATTATGTTGTCAAATAATCCTGCTAATAATAATCCCAGCTGTCAAGATATCATAGATCTCATTATGTGCAATAATATATTAAAGGATGACAAACTATTGCTGTGGATGGGGAAGCATGGGAAGTTTTGTGCTACATGAATAGACACAAAGCAGGATTTGACTTGTAAATTAAAGTTAATAAAATTCTTAGCTTCAATGGTCCTGACCCAGTGTTCTGGGGGTGGGGGTGTGTTGTGTGGAGATCTCTCATTGAATAGTCGATCCGTGCCATCAGCAGCTTTGGCCGGTGTCCTGTCCAGCTCACTGACATCACTGGTTTCCAGGAGCTTGGCAGGACGTCAGCTTCTGGGTGGAAAGACAGACAGAGCGTTACAGGTTGCTAAGAGCTTCTAGCAACCTGTAACGCTGTGGTCGCCCCCCCCCTCCCCCCCCCCATGAGATGCCGCCTGAAACAACCACCTCATTATAGGGATGAGCCTGCCAAAATGGCTGAAGTGCAGGCAACTTGTGTAAATATATGTGTTAGAAGCCTGGGTCTAGGATCAAACAGGCTATACAGATTTGATTACAAACACTATGCTCGCAGTTACCACAGGGTTTTTACCTTCAGCTGTGTTGTTCTCTTCGGTACTTTTTAGGCCAGGTCAAGTTCACTTTAACCCTTTCGCTGCCACCTACGTAAGGCTTACTGACGTGGCTACATGCAAGCGTTTGTGTTCTGCCGTAAGCCCTACCTTGGTGGCTTTCACCCTTCTGCTATAAGCTCATGGTCGCTTTAGCAACCATGAACTTATATCAGAAGGGTCCCCCCGACGGTCCCCTGTAAAATAATAGCTGTCATCAGCCGCTGAGGCGGCGGGGATCTGAGGAGAAAATTACAGCTGAAGCCGGTGGGAGAGGGGCGGAGGGAGCGCTGTCACTTCAGGATGGCTGAGCGGTAAGGAGAGAGGAAGCCACAGCCGAGCGGGGAGGAGCGCACATACACTCTCATCCTGTCATTTTCAGGATGACAGCGGCTCTGTGTGTGACCGAGCGGAGAATCTGTAAATATCTATTATATTTACCCATCCTCTGTGTGCAGAGCAAACATTGGAGTGATCAGCAGATCACTCCAATGTTTGTAAACAACTGGGGACACATAGTACTAGGGACACATAGTACTAGGGACACATAGTACTATGTGTCCCTAGTTATGAATTAACAAGAAATGCTTTACATCACTTCCTGTGCATTCATGAGTTTCTGAATGAGCAAAAGCACTCAGTACAGAGGCTTCTACCCAGTCACAACTGTATGATAGTAAATATTTTACTATTTCCAGTTTGTGAATGAATGGGAAGCCTCTGTAGTGAGTGCTTTTCATTCATTCAGTGCTGAGGCTGCCGAAAACGAGTCCTCAATTGTGTCCTCCATTTCTTTTTCTATTTCAAAAAAAGGGAAATATCTGGAGTCTGTTTAGACCCCTTATATTTCCCAGAAGTAAAAAACAAAAATAACAATAATAATAAAAAAATAAATAAATAAAACACAACCCTGACACACACACATATTATACACGTGCAGCAGTGTGCACCATATTGTGGTGTACGCCATGCACGTGTGTTGCAGTGCATTGTTAGAACGCATTGCAGTGCTTGATTTTTTTCTCTTTTTTTTCGTTTTTAAAATTACATTTATTTAACTGTGTGACAGTGCATGGCAAGAAGTTGTGATGCATTGCGGAGCATTGTGATATGCTGTGTTGCGATTAAATGTACACCTGTGTCATTTTATCACAACACACACCAACACAGTGCTCAAATGATTTTTAACCCAAGTTGCTATTTATAGTTTTGCATTCCTTCATTTTTTTACTGTTTCGCAAAAAGGCGCAATTAAACTTTTACAACTATTTTTTATTTATTAACTCAATACAGTTTTATGTTTTAGATTTAGTCAGACATGTATTTTTGTTGTGCACTGATAATGATTTTAGTGTACTTTTATCAATGTAATTGTGTATTTTTATTGGTTTAATATTGATTTGATAAACATTTGCGCAATTATCCCAGGACCTACAAAATTTGTAGCACCATCTTTTTATTCTACTGGGCCTGTGCTTTCAGAAAGCACAGACCCAGTACAAATGCTAAAAGCTAAATGCTAAAAGCTGGAGCCTTAAAGTGTTCCCGAGGGCTTGGCAGCGAAAGGGTTCAAGCATATGTCAAGGCAAAAAACAATAAAAAATATTCAGAAAATCTCTGCAACAAGTGCACGTTTCCCAGTGTTTTATGCCTTTTAAAGATTCTACAAGTACAGAAAAATTGCCTTTTGTGAAAAAGTTCCATTGTAGCTGACAACACACAACATTTTTTTGGGCTGCCCATTGTTATTTGCTAAACTACCCAACCACATCCACTCATAGATCTCTATAACTTAAAGGCTTATCATTCTGTAATCCAAAATAAGAGCTAGGATAACTGAGTTTAGGATAACTCAGGAAGTGTGCAGAGGACACAGGACAGCTTTGAACTCCTGACATCAGGTTTTTTGGCACTTATCAGACAAATATAACAAAATGCTTTCAATGGTATAAAATGCAAATAGGAGAATTTCATCGTAAGGGTGCACATACAGTTTAACTTTTTTGAATAATCACTGATACAGAAATATGAGAGATTTTAAGAATGGGATGTTTGCTGAATAAATAATTATAATTCTTTTCCAGGGGAATGTAAAAACTTGCAAGATCTAAATGTGTCGGAGTGCCCAAATTTAAATGTAAGTGGCTTATATCTGTACTATTTAAAGCAGCTTGCAGATTTCAAAATGAAGTAATCATATTCAGATGTAACATCTATTCTGCAGCCAGCGCCATGTGGATTCAGTTATTTATGGTATAAAGCCACTGACCCTCCCTTCATGCAGAAAAAATAGACTTGTTAAGTAAATTATTGTATTTCATTTTAGAATTGTATCTGGAGCAATGATACTCATAGTGGATAACAGATTTCTGTGGTGTAGAGCTTTAATGTGTTATGCCTCATTGATATTACTAGTTCTGAATAAAGGAATAGTCTAGAACAGCAGTTTCCAATCTTTTTTACAGATACGGCACCCCTTAAAAGTATGCAAATCTCAAGGCACCCCAGTCTAAAATGTAATTTATTTTAAAGGGGGACCCCATGCAAAAACATTTAAAAAAATTCCCTCCTTCACATTGAAGTCCCCCATTCACACCAGAGCCCCAATTTTCACATTAGAATACCCCTTCACAGGAGGACCCCCTCTTTTCACATCCGAGGCCCCCCTCTCACAATAGGAGCCCCCCTTCACATAAGAGCCCTCTCCTTTCACATCAGAGTCCCCCTCCTTCACATCAGAGTCCCCCCTTCACATCACAAGCTTCACATCACATCAGAGCATCCTCCTTTCACATCAGAGTCCCCCTCTTTCACATCAGAGTCCCCCCTTCAAATCACAAGAACAGAAGCCCCCTCACCCAACACCAGAGCCCCCCACTTTTACACCAGAGTACCCCTTCACACCAGGAACCCCATCCTTTGACACATGAGACCCCCTCACACAATAGGAGCCCCCTTCACACCAATCCCCCCACTTTTACATCAGAGTACCTCTTCACACCAGGAACCCCCTCCTTTTACATCAGAGTTCCCCCCTTTACATCACAAGCTTCGCATCACATCATAGCTCCCTACTTTCACCTCAGAGTCCCCCTCTTTCACATCAGAGTCTCCACTTCACATCACAAGCTTTGTATCGTATCACAAGCCCCCCCTCACATCAGGAGCCCTCTTCACATCAACATCTCCCCTTCACATCAGGAGGATTTCGAGGCACCCTTGGGGCAGCTAGAAGGTGCCCCAGGGTATCCTGGCACCCTGGTTGAGAAAGGCTGGTCTAGATTGTGGTTTATACTACTCAGTTGTCTGTCTTTCTGGCAAGAATTAAGGGTTCATTCACACGGGCCTGCGCATCTTTACAGTTTGCATGCCTGTGCAGAGACCTGCTCCCAGAAGGGCCAGGTTCCACAAGTAATTGTGTGCAGCCACCTGTACCCCCCTATGGGAGGACGCAGCTACACACCAACCCGAACCTGCACATCCATGCAGGCCTGGGTACCCGCACTTGGACGCAGAGAGCGTGCACACAAGTGCAGGCATCCGGACCTGCACAGATCTGCAGGTTCAGGTCAGCGTGCATGCCGTACAGATGTGCACACCCGTGTTGAATGAGCCCTTAAGAAGATGTTTTGTATCAGGATTTATAATAGCTTAAAAACTGTTTGGCTTTAATATCACTTTACACTTATAATTCATTAGTCAATACAAGAGCTCATAAAAAGATGGAGTAAAACATAGCATAGTTCACTATGTTCACCTAAGTCAGCTATATTCTGCCTACCACATTAACTATCTGACGACTACTATTCCCCTCTGCTGGTTGTGACCTGGTATTTTATCATGGTACCACATTCACTTGTTAGGTCTGTCCTATTTGTGCTGTGCTATGACTTACATCTCCTAACTGGAAGGACAGTGCTTCCTTTGAACAATAGGTTTACAGAAATGTCAAAATATTAATGACAAATGTGATAGAAACTTTTACAGTATGACCATGATGGTCACCTTGACACCATAGGAGAAATCCCAAATCATGCGACCTTTGATAGGACCGTGATACGTTGAGTCTTTACAATTTATCTTAGATATTAGGTTCAAGATATCAAGATATTAGGCTGTTCTTTACAATACACTCTTTGGTTCCATAGATATCATAGAATGCTTGGCAGGCATTAGACATATGTGGCAAACATCCCAATTTAATGCATATGTACATCAGATAGTTTTAGGCATCCATGCTGATACTAGTATTATATAAACAATTTACTTTGTGTTGTCCAGGATGAAGCAATGAGAGTTATCATCGAAGGATGCCCTGCTTTACTTTATCTCAATTTGTCACATACTGAAATAACTAATGCTACTCTACGAGTCATGTCCAGGTAGGTTTTGGTAACAAACAGTGTTCTTCCATAGCAGTTATGACAACCAGCGGTCCAAATTATCTTATCAAGGTGACCATTTTAACCTGTCCTTATGGTCTATAGTAGCGGCGCCCACAATTTTTCGTCTGGAGATCTACTTTTCAAATGACCAGATCTACCAACGAAAAAACATCTGCATTCAGGGGCGTGGCGGTGCATTCAAGTCAATGGCACCGCAGCCCAGTGGCGGATCCAGAGGGGGCAACGGGGCAATTGCCCCCCGCGAGATTAGTACAGCTCCTGTGACTGTCCCGAGTGACGAGTCCCGATCCTTGCGGCTGCTGCGGCTGCCACCCGCAGTGTGTGTTGTGAGTGTGACACAGCTACATAAAGCTTACCCTCTGTGTCACAGACTTTACTGCGGTTCATTGTAAATAAAAAATATTGTACAATGAACTGCAGTAAAGTCCGTGGCACGGAGGGACAGCTGTATGTACCGGCGGCTGTGCGTGTGCGGGGATCTTCTGAATGAAACAGGTCATTGGCAGCTGCAGCTGCCTGTCATTGGCAATGACTGATAGCCAGGCGGAGGCGGAGCCGATACACGTCTCTGCAGGCACCCTCTCCTGTGACCCCTCCTCCACTGGTCGCAAAGGACGCAGATGAAGAGGTGCTGCAGCCTGCATATCTTAGGTAAGGTTGGGGTAGTCTGTGGGTAATAACTGGCTTGGGGGGAAAGGGGGAATTGGGGGACTAGCTGGGCTGGTGGTATTCAGCATTGCTGTATAATGATTATACAGCAATGCTGAATGCCACCAGCCAGGGGCGGACTGACCATCAGGGGACCTGTCACCCCGCCCCCGCTAAATGAACATCCCGGCTGCAGGTACAGTGGCTCCCTCCCTCCGCCGTCTCTCTGCCGCTAAAGATGTGGCTTTCTAATCGCGCAGCCGCTTGCTCCACAAGGGCAGCCCTCTAACATGCCTGATTAAAGGGCCGCATCTGCCTGATCCAGCCAGCCCGGATCGCCTCAGTATGCAAACGGCTGCGCATTTAGAGAGCCGTTTTCATTCACACTGGAATCGGCCGGCACGTACAGCTCTGTGCTGCGTGCACGGCCGTATCGGGCAGCTCCAGGGAAGGACAGGTGCTGCGTGTGATTAGTACACAGCCCCTGTTCTTCTCTATAGAACTACATGGCCGTAAGCCGCCCTACGCTCACGCGTCGTGCACATCGGGGCGGGTAAGCGTACTCGTATGCTCGTACGGACATGCAGGGCGGGTGAGCATAGGGGGGCGTACTGGCCGTTTTCTGGCAGTGCCCCTCCGGAGAATAGACTCTGGATCCGCCCCTGCCGCAGCCAGCACCGCAGTCAGGCCCCTCTCACAGTGCGATCGCCTACACCCGGGACCCAGGCACATTAGTGCCTGTGTTCCAGTCCAGTGCGATCCGCAAAAATGCTGCAAGCACTATTTTTGCAGATCGCACTGGACCGGAATGCAGGCACTAATGTGCCTGCGTTCCAGGTGCGGGCGACCGCACACTGTGGGCAGGGGGCATGGCTGCGGTGCCATTGACTTCAATACAACCCCACCCCCCCTCCTGCCCCTGAACGCAGGGAGTCGGCCGGCTTACATTCCTGTGCGTCCTAGAGGCCTCGGCGTCCTGTCCTGTTTGTCCGGCACAGAGGATCGGAACATTTAACTGACATGTACCGATCCTTCGCTGCTCGGCCACGCACACGGGGGCTCAGCCTCTCTCAGCTGAGTGTTTTGTTGTGTGTTTTGTTGAACAACGTTTCCCATTAACATCTATGGGACCAAGAAGCGCTGTAATCTGCCAAAAGTAGCTCATAGCTAGCTAGTAGCTCAAGTAGCTTACCTTTGAGCAACAAAATGCCTAGATGTGAACGGGGACAGACCACAGTGTCCAGTTTATCCAATGGAGAACACAGATCACACAGCTGTGTTGTATGCTCCTCAAAGTCTGCAAGCATTCAGCGATCCTGCGGAGTGCCAGTGAAACACAGCATGTAAAGAACTCCAGGTAATTTAAAAAACTTACCCCTGCATTGGGGTACTGCAAGAGTTAACTGCTCATTTTAGTCTAGAGGCTAAAATAAAGAAGATATACTCACCCGATCCTCTGTCCTGCTGCGGTGACCTCTCACCACTCTCCCCCTTCACTCTAGCGGTGGCATGTCCCTTGGCATCCTCACCTCTAATGCAGTTGCAGACGTGATGACGTTACGAGTCCTTAGACCGCCAGAGCCTGGGAAAGAAGAGGCTGCAGAGACCGGTCTAGCAGCTATGCAGGGCTGAGGATCAGGTGAGTGTATCTCCTTTATTTTAGTCCCTACAACAATATGAGCAGTTCACCCTTTCAGTACAGGGGTAGCCCCACGGGAAGGGTTAATCTATTTAATTGCCTGGAGTTCTTCTTTGAAGCAGGGCTCCTGCAACCTTTGTGGGCAAGCTGTGTGTAAGCCTGAAACTGGCAATTCCCTCTCTGTGTAGCCAGCCCTGCTTTCTGCAAAGTTATATTAGAGCTTACTTGGAATCACATCAAAGAAAAGAGGATATTCAACCAACAACAGACCAATTAAGTTTTTGTTGCAGTGAAAAGAGAGAACCATTTGTCTCATGTGCCAGGAGCCTGTTGCTGTGTTTCTGGAATACAATTGCTTTGACACTGACAATGGGCATTTTTTACTCCCACCGACCACCAACGCTGGGGCACTTTTTTTTACCTCTGCTGGTCACAGTCTGGCCCCCAGCAGTCTGATGAATAATGACCCCTGTTGTAATAGTTTAGGGTTGCAACGTTGGCTTAAAGTGATCTAATTTCCCACAGAGTTTCTAATTGTTATTTTATATTTGAAGTACACTGTGGCTATTTGAATCATACCGTAGCTCTTCATCCAATATGTATTATAAATGACTTGTTTATCTGCAGTTATAAGGAGTTAGCCCAAACTGACTTGCTTCCAGTCTGGAGATATCCTAATAATTGGCTGCACAGTTACAACTGCTGTTCACCAACCCATGTAGACTTTATATAAATATAAAAATGTTCCAATGTGCAGCAGGAACACTACCATTTTAAAAGGTAGAGCATGCCAAAAATAGCATTAAAGTCTACTGAACAGGATATGTTAATAAAATAGGCAAGTCATTTCCAGCGTTAATTGAAATGATTTGCCTATGGGAGTTATTATGGCACTGCTAGCTGAACATTTTTATGAAATGCTCCCTCATTAATGTCCTCCATAGCTTTCCTCTATGAATAAGTTAGTTTTTCTCATGTAAGATCCTCCTTAGCTACTTCTCCAACTGCTCTGTATTACAATATAGATCATATTTCCATTTGGTGGCAGTGTTGTATTATCCTATATGTACTTCAGTCAGAAATTCAACATGTCAGCTCATACAGTAACTAATGTGCACTTTATTCTAGCATGCTGTAGAATACTCATTATTTTAGAATAAAAAGTAACAGTAGGTTTCAAGCATGGAATGGCAAGAAGTAGTAAGTATCTTGATGGATACTGGATGGATGAAAGCAGCCCATATGTAAATCACATTGTGGGCTGTCACTGAAACCCAGAGTTGCCTTAAGGTGCCCATACACTTTACAACCCTTGCAAGACTTTTGTCTTGCGAGGGTTGTAAAGTACTTTAAAAAATTAGAAACGGTCGCACGCCTTCCATACACTGCACGATTCTCGTACGATCGCGGGATGTCCCTCTATTCTCGTACGAGAATCGTGCAGTGCATGGGCACCTTTAGAATAAACTGTTATATAAGCTGATGTGTGATAGCGTACAGTAATTAGCAGTAGTTCAAGTAATGGAATATGATGAATTGTTATGTACTCAGTTGTGTTGCTGTTTCTTTAAAATCTGTGCACAGCCTCTGTAGGTTGAGTAATAAAAATGTGAATTGAGGTGTACTGATGAGGCTTTGTGCTTGGCTCACCAAGGGCTGGCTACCCTGGCACAGAAGGAGCTTGTAAAGAAATTCTTGGTGGGTTATTTAAAGTTGAGGTTTAAGCATACAGGCTGCTTTAGAAATCATTACTGGGTTATTATCCTTTTTTTCCAAGCAAACTCTTAAAATAATGCACACATGTGAATGCTGTCTACTGCTCACCCAATTTATCGTTAAACATTTAACTGCAAATTAAAGTTTTAAATTAGCATTCCTCAGTTTTTAACGTAAAGTTGACTCTGCACAGTCACATCGTAAATTGTAGCTACAGGAAAGCTGCTGATTATGCTGTAATAAAATGATTCCTTTGTGCAGATTTGTGTCTTCACTCCCCTTCGTTCTGCATGTTGTGTTTTCCATTATACTGTCATTGTACCTATATCTCTCTTCTGTATTCTTCCCTCTAGATACCTGCTCAACCTCCAGTATCTGAGCTTAGCTTACAGCCGAAAATTTACAGACAAAGGCTTACAGTACCTGGGCTCTGGAAAGGGATGTCACAAGATCATCTACTTAGATCTCTCTGGCTGCACTCAGGTTAGTCCTTTGCCTTTCTTTTTTCATGCAGATGGAAAGGGAATCCTTGGAGCGAGAAGCTGTGTCTTGCTCTCATTGTGCATCCAACTAGTGCTGGTCCTTCAGGAAATTTGAGCGGTTTTAAATTACAAGTCTGCAGCTGCTTACACTCTCCTTAGGCACAGCACTATAGGCACTGGCTAACGTCCAAGGCAGTGTCATGCTTCTAAACAGCTCAGGCTTACTGGATAGTGAAAAGGAGGCTTAATGCTTTCTGCAAATCTTTTCCTTTGCTCTGAAGTCAACTCTCTTCAATAGAACAGAGAGGACTGTAGAAAGTGTTCTCTAATGAAGGAACATATTAAACCGCACCAAAAGCCCAGTAATCATTATTAGATTTTTTTTTTTCAAGCATGAGTGACTCAGTGGATCATGTAACAAGGGGATTAAAGAAACTATGTAGCTGTCTACAGATTTTGACAAATTAGGTGTGGAAGGGTTTGGAGTCATCAGTGCACATAAAATCCTTTAAACAACATTTCTTGTCAGAGTTATCTACCATTTTAGTCTTCATAGAAGTAGAAGTGTGATTCTTTGTGGGCTAATGCTAAAAGCTGCACAGATGAAATGTCTGCTAATGAGCATGCAATAAAAAGTAAAGATGCACTTCTGCTCTATTTAATTTTACCATAAAAACCATCAATGCTACAGCACTACGGCAGCTGTACGATGCAGGCATAGTCTTGACCAGACACACTTCTTTTTCCCTCCCTATGTGCATACCGTACCTATGCCAATACTTTGCCCTCTGAGATATCCAATGTCCAGTAAGTACACTGTTCAAAAAAAAATGGATGGAAATGTTTTTGATCCAAATAGGGTGGTATCAACCTCCCTGTAATTTGCAACAAGTATAGGAAAAAAAGAAGAAGGGAAAGCATATATGGGACTTTTAGGGTACCATTTACATGTAAAGTCAGATAAAGTCAATAGTAATTTTACATATCTGTGTAACAGTAAAAAAAATCAAGACAATGTAAAGCAGTGCCAGGTTCTCAATGTGCATCGTGGAATTCTTCATCCAAATAATGTAAAAAAGAAAAGAAAAAAGGAAACAGTGTTATACGCTGAAACTTCACACCGACCCCCCAACCGGTCTGCATGCTAGCGTTTTAGCATGTGGGTTAGTGTGAACTAGCCCTTATTTTCTGTCAGTGTAAACATAATCGTTAATTGCTGAGATATCTGCAGTTAGTAAATGAACCCTGGCATATCAAGAGTATACTTAGGTCATTATTAGCCTGACAAATGAAGATAAGATATCATTTATTACCTGTACATGATAAGATGAATCAATAGATTTGGGTGCTGGGACCTTGGCAATGGTATCCTTCAGCACAGAAAAGGGTTGATCTTTGGCAGTGAGGATCCTGGCACAGGAGAGATGCGCATGCATACAAAAAGTTACATTTACATAAGAAAGGGTTAGGCCCCTTTCAAATGGTCCGATCAGGAGTGGATCCGTGCATGTATCCCCTGCTAATCGGAGATGATGGCACCAGTGTGACATCCATGTCCATTCAGTTTTTTCCTCCATCTTGCGTTACCATTACCAGACCCATGTTGATCTATGGGAAATCTGATGTAAATGGACTAGTGTCCGTTTACATCAGAGTATCCTCGATTTGGCATGGTAGAACGGAATTCTAATCCTTTTGTTTTTCCAGGCCTGGCCTTTTAGCTCTGGCTGCCCATAGACTAACGTTGGGCTTCCGATCAGATCTGCCTGAAAAATTGACAGGGCTCTTAGTGTGAGGTCTGGGATTACAGGGAGAGGATGCCTTCAAGTAGTAGCTCATCATTCTCTGCACTAGAATTTCCGCTACCAACCACTAAAAGCACCAATCTCCTGGTGCTAAAAACAAATGTATCGTAATGAGGTTGCCAGTCTGAGTTTTGTTATCACTAAGCAGCCAAGGAAATAAACTGTGCTGATTAAAAAAAATTAGTCATGTCTACAATGCTGCTTTGAAATATGCTTGGAGAACCTCTGCTGGGGTATATTACTGACACAGTAGTATAGGTACGATTTCTCAGCTGCGCATGTTTTAAGTACTGTTGCTGCACTTCTACAATCACTACACTGGCTTATTAGAACCATATATGTGTTTCTAAAAATAAACTGTCTTGAAGGACTAGTGTTTCATGGTTGCACAATGTGAAGGTCCAAGGCTGAATTGGTAGAGTATCCTAGCTTTAAAAGATAACTTGTATGGGATCACAGCTGCTGGAGGTGACCCGAAACATGAAGTCATCACTGTGGTAAATATTTGAATCATGTATCATTGCAGAAAAGGGAGGATTTGGTATTGTTGCTTTATCATTTTAAGGAAGCTTGTCCCTTGAATGTTCATTCTGTTAAGCTAAACCTAATTTAAAGCAGGCCATACTCTTGTGTTGTGGTTTTGCCTTCCACAAATCTGGTGTGCCTCTTTAATGTGTTTTTGTTTTATACTTGTGCATCAAGTAGTTTTACTTTTCTGCAAATTGTGAAAGAAATTCAGCTCATTAAAAGTAGGCATCTGGCATTAATCAACTATTTTAACTCACTAGTTATCATTACATATATAAAGCAGGTTCAAACTAGGAAGGCACTGTCATAGCTTCAGCAGATGTAAGCACATTTTTGTTCCTTCTGGCAAATACAGAAATGGGAGTGCTTAAAATGTTACAACATGTAAAGCAGGGATGCTATCTCTAAACAATTAGATTAAAGACCTTTTCCTTTAAATTGCGGTTCCACCATATGTGCCTCTTTGCCTCTTGTTTTGCACATTTATACTATATGCACATTTGCAGAACATGAGAGCCTAGCAAAATCTTAATATTGCCCCCTGGTTCTCCACTGTTTAAAGGTGAACTCTGGGCACAATGAACTAGCATGTGTTATAAGCAGTTGAAGCCTCTGATTACCTAAAAACCAACTCCCGTGGTGACTGCGGTTTTTGACTGACTTCTGTTCTTCCCTGCCCACATGGATGTCCACTTGTATTCACACATATAGCCAGACAATGCTGCTGAAGTTTGATCTTCAATAAACATCATTAGGCTGCAGGAACATGTACATAATGTATATTTAAAGACCATCTCTGGGCTCAGTGAACTTACTTGCGTCCCAAAAGCCAACTCTTGTGACAAATGCTATCTTTTAAATCCAGCAAATCTTCTTATATACATTACATGCATGGGTGGATGTACAGCTCCCACTCTACTTTCATGCTCGTTTGAATGCCTGCTTGCATGCTCACATTCGGCCAGGAAGTGCTGCTGGAGGCAAGGTTGATCTTCAATAATCAACATTAGGCTGCAGGAACAAGTGCATGTAATTAAATCCCATCTCCGGAGTAGGTTTTTGTAGATTTATTACTGAGCACTCAGGGAGAGATGGTGAAGGGGAAAAATACCTAAAAACGGAACATCATTACTTAATAGTAACTTCTGGTCTTTAGGGTTCAGTAGCTTCTGAATCCCTGCAGGGAGCAGTGGCTGACAGTCACCACTCTCTACAGGTAGAAGCCGTGAGCTAAGCGATCATTGGTTCATGATCACTCAGTTCTTGAGCTATAGAGCCAGCATGCAGTGTCACATGTCGGCTCTAAATATTGGGAAGAATACATTTTACTCTCCCAATACTTCTCCTTTAAGAAATGTCCACCTTTAAATATCATATATCAAGTGGTTTCACAGTGTTGCAGTTGTAGCAACACTACAACTCCTTTTATATAGAATCCCAGCAGGCACTGTCGGAACTACCAGGGTCGCAGCGGTCGCAAATTGGTAGTTCCGCCACTTGGGGGGGCCCAGCGAAGAAGTGCACTGCCCGAGGTAATGCCGGTTTCCTCGTTAATCCCGTCTGTGTCGTAAGCGCAGATACTGGGTCAGCGTTCTCGACAGAACACCACACTAACATTTTAAACAAGCGGCTGCCTGAGGTCCCGCGCTTGCTGGGGACCTTGGCAGCCTTCCTGTTAACCATGTGGTGCCATTGCGGTTGGGGGGGCCCTTCATGGTTTCTTGCATCGGGGCCCTGAAGGTTCTAGTTACGCCACTGCCAGCAGGGAAAAATCATCCAAGACAGACCTCTAAAAGAGAACTTCTAACATAGGCTTCCTGCCAGAGCCTTGAGAAGAATTAATTTGGTTTATCACAGCATATTTAACAGTAGCTAGTAAAGTCAATTAATACCTGGAATCTAGGAATGCAGAACAATAAAACAAATGCTTAGGCTAACTACAGCCTATCTGTGTCTGGTAGATACAAACTAAATTAGGGAGATTGCTGCTTGACCGT